TACTCTCAGGAGAAAGCAAAAGACCTCTAAAATAACCTGGAGACAAACTAACCAAATGGAGACTAAAGAATACCACACACTAAGAGAAAAGAATCATCCTAAAACACTTGAAAGACTCTAAGAGAACTGGATGGATGCTGCAATAGTTTGAGATTATAAGAATTTTTTTTTCCAGAAAAAATATAAAGGGTTTAAGTGAAGTATGACCCAGCATGCAGTGGGCCACCTTCAAGAGAGAAAACAGCCTGCTGTCAGACTTTTTTTTAAGTAACTCCACCCCTGTCTTCAACTAATATTTTCTTCATAACCAAATAACTAAGAAACATAATTCTGAAAGGGAGTTATTGATCCTTCAAGAGTACAGTTAAAGGGATGCTAGTGGAAAAAATAAATGGTTTAGTTCCAAAACTTATTTAATCCTTATTAGCTAGGCCATCTTAGGCTATATTTCCTCCTGCATTAAATAGAGATAATTCCAGTTCTACCTCACAGGATTAATATGAGGATCAAATGAGGCAGTACATATGAAAGCACACCTTGCAAATGTCTAATCAATACTTCCTATTTTCTTTGCGTAACTAATGGCAATCTATAAGCTTTGTGTTAACATTCTTCAGTCACTACTGGTGTTTTTTTCCTCCCCAACCAAATTTCAAAACAAGGCACTAATCTTTGCACAATTTAAACCCACACCATGGAAACCTTGGCTGTCTTACTTGGATTGCAGGGCTGGCGAATTTCCACTCCAGGTGGCTAAACAGTAACAAACAAGGACTCACTGTTCATCACATCCTCACTCGCTCCGTGAATAAGTTTTTCTCCAAATTAAGTGGTTCATTTTGGACTTTTGTCTCTTCCAGTTACAAAACTTTAAAATATCCAAATACTTAAACAACAAACTTAGAGTTGAAGAGGTTTAAAAAATATTTCATCATGGGAACAAAATGCAGTACTAAGGTATAGCACTTCAAGATATTAAACCAGTGAATATCCTCTCCAATGACCCGTTCCACATCACACATATTCTAGCACTAAAAATCAAAACAATTTCCAGATTTCTGAGAATTTCCCTGTATGTTCTAAATATTTTAATAAGACACAATTCTACTGTCTGTAATTTTTAAGATTAAATGCATGCACACAGAAGGTCATCAAATATTTGCTGAAGACCTATTTACTTTTTACTACAGAACAACTAATCAACGAACAAAATAGAGCAGCAAAAAAAACAAAAACAAACCTCCAGAAAATAGCATAGCATCTTACTGTGAAGATGCTTCAGATGTTCAGAAACCAACACGTTGATTAAATCTTTTAAACACTTTAAAAGGGCTCATAAAATTCACCCTGTTAAAGCACACAATTTGACTATATATCCACAAGGCTTTACAACCATTATCACTATCTAGAACATTTTCATCATTCCCCCAAAGAAACTCCAAGCCATTAGTAGTCACTCATCATTTCAACACCCCCCAACAGTCCCTGGCAATCTATAGTCTATTTTTCATCTCTATATATTTGCCTATTTGGGACCTTTTATATAAATGGAATCATAAAATATATGAGTTTTCTAGTTTTGAGTAAATCTTCCATTTCATTATCATGTGGTTTGTTTTCTTCCTAACTAAACATGACTGTACAACATGGTAACTGTAGTTAATAACAATATACTACACACTTGAAAAACTGCTAAGAGTAGATTCTAAGTAGTTTGACTATAAAATGGTAAGTATGAGATAATACACGTTACTCTGATTTCACCATTCTGCAGTATATACTACTTCAAAACATGTAATACACTATAAATATATATGGTTTTATTTGTTGAATAAAAAAAAAATCAGGGAGGAAAGCACATACACAACATATACAACATGTATACATACACAGATACACATGTATACGTACACAGATATATATATACACACACACATATATATACACACACATATACATATACGCACCAAGAAAGATCAGGAAATTGTACTGTGGGGCTGATGGATAATAGATATAGATACAAAAAAGTACTCTGCAAATGAACACACTGTAATTTTGATTACTTTATTTCAAAATTTCTGAAAAATATGATGCAGCCTCTTGTGATTTTTAAAAAGAATCCTGGGGCTAGAGTTATGGCTGAGTGGTAGAGTGCTTGCCTCCCATAAGTAAGGCACTGGGTTCCATCCTCAGCACCACATAAAAATTAATTAATTAATTAACTGATTGACTGATTGATTAATTAAAGGTATAGATTCCATCTACAACTAAAAAATATATATATAAAAAAGAATCCTGGGGCTGGGGTCTTGGCTTAGTGGTAGATTCACATGCAGGGCCCTAGGTTCAATCCTCAGCACCACATAAAAATAAAGGTATTTAAAAAAAAAAATCCTGACCAACATTTTGACCTTTTCCATGTTACTAACCTATTACAATAAATGGTAATTACTATATTTTGCTATTGTAAAAGGACACTAAATTACTTTTAAATTTATATATAAATAAAAATCTGAAGTCACAAAAAATATATAAATAGTTGTGGTATTTAGGTGATAGGAAAATGGAGTCTTTAAAATATATTTTATTATTTTGGGGCTGGGGTTGTGGCTCAGTGGTAGCGTGCTTGCCTAGCATACGTGAGGCACTGGGTTCAATTCTCAGTACCACATACAAATAAATAAAACAAAGGTCCATCAACAACTAAAAAATATTTTTAAAAAATAAAAATAAAATATATTTTATTTTTAATTTAAAAATGTTGTCACTCTTTGAAAGGCATTTTTGATGTATATCAAAAAAGTTCATACTTAGTGTAATAAGCAGATAAAACTAAGAATTCCCTAACTTTTGATATGAATATTACTGTCATAGCTAAACTAAATGTACATGATATGGAGATGACAATGACACTAATGTATTGTTCAGTAAAAAAGATACATTGCAGAACCGCACATATGATTCTTGATATAGAAAACAAAACATCACATATAGCCAGGCATAGTGGCTCACATCTGTAAATTGCAGCAACTGGAGACTACGGCAGGAGAATCACAAGTTCAAGGCCAGCCTCAGCAATTTAGCGAGTCCCAGAGCAACTTAGCAAAACCCTGTTTCAAAATAAAAATGGGCTGGGGATGTGATTCAGTGGCTAAGTGCCCCTGGGTTCAACCCCAATACCAAAAACAAATCAATCAATAAATAGCCAAAGCTGGCTTGAAATCTGTGACCTTTCTGCCTCAGCCTCCCCAGCTGCAGAGATTAGAGGCATGCACTACCAAACTGAGCTTGCTTGCTTGATTTATTTATCCATCTACCTATCTATATCTTTAATGATACTGAAGATTGAACCCAGGGTGCTCTACCACTGAGCTACATACATCTTCAACCCTTTTTATTTTTTTTTATTTTTTTTTTTTTTATTTTTGTACCAGGGATTGAACCCAAGGCGCATTTAATACCGAGCAATATCCCCAGCCCTTTTTATTTTATTTTATTTTATTTTTTGAGACAGGGTATGGCTAAATTTCTTAGGGCCTTGCTAGGTTGCTGAGGCTGGCCTTAAACTTGCGATCCTCCTGTCTTAGCCTCCAGAGCTGCTGGGATTATAGGCATATACCACCATAACCAGCTTGCATGTAATTTTAAAAAGCTCTACAAAGATATTCACCAAACTGTTAAGAATGGTTATTCCTGGAGAATGACTGGAAAGATTTTTTTAATTCACTTTTTATTCTATATATTTCTGCATTATGTATTTATTTCATAGTAAACGTACTTTCACAACATTTCAATCACCAATTTTTACAAGTATTTAAATGTACCATCAGTTTACATTATTTTACTCTTTTCATGCATTAAATTCAACACTTGGGAGAGAAGGATAGGGAAAAAGTTATCAACAGGTACTAAGTTAAAGTCAGGAGTAAGAAGTTCTGGTGCGCTATTATACAGTAGGGTGACTAGAGATAATGATAATGCACTGTATATTTCTAAAAGCTGTAAGAAGGGATTGTGAAGTTTTTACTATAAGGAAGTGATAAATATTGGAAAGATGATTTTACCCCAATTTAAACATCATATAATATATACACATAAGGAAACATCACATGATATCCCAGAAATATGTACAATTTTTGTTTTTACATATCAGTTAAAAAATACATTTCATTTAAAGTTTTAAAAAATGCAATACTTTCACAAGGCATCAGAATAAAAGCACTTTCTAAGAAGAGAGTAAAGGAGAAAGAACTCAGAGCTGAACTAGGTTTTGGGAAATGTCTAGATTAGGAGGGAGAGAGGGACAGGATGTGATCCCATAAAGATATCTCTGAAGAACTTAGAACATGGTATGTCATGGAATCAAAAATGAGAGGCCAGACACAGTGGCACACATCTGTAATTCCAGTGACCCAAGAGGCTGAGGCAGGAGGATCACATGTTCAATGCCAGCCTCAGCAATTTAGCAAGGCCTTACGCAACTCAACAAGACCCTATCTTGAAATTTATAAAAGGCTGGGAATACGGCTCCGTGGTTAAGTGCCCTGGATTCAACTCCAGTATCAAAAAAATTTTTTTCAACACTTTTATGTATAAATTATTAATGATCAGATCCAAAGGAAAAATTGAACATGGCAGCAAATATCAATAGATTATATATGGCTTCCAAAAACATGATAGTTTTTTTTTTTTTTAAGATGTTGATGGACCTTTATTTTATTTATTTATATGTGGTGCTAAGAATCGAACCCAATGCTTCACGCATGCTAGGCAAGCGCTCTACCACTGAGCCACAACCCCAGCCCCCATGATAGGTTTTTTATAGCATCCTACTTAGAATATAACCCAGAGGACACATTCAGGTGGTACCCTGAAATAGCTGGGATGAAAAGTTTATTGTATAATATGTATATTATATATTGAACTCACCAAAAAGGGGCTCTGGGACCCACTTGGTACATCAAACACAAGTGAAAGCAAGAAAAGGTTAAGAATGTTACCTTTTCCAAAATGAACTTGTTTAAATATGGCATGTAACCCTGGTTGGAGACAGGCCCTTCATCATCATCCCTGAAGTGCTCCTCAAGGGCAACAGGATCATGTGGAACCTTCAGAACTGTGCACAAGTTATGGGAAAGGACCTAAGGGAAAAAAAATAGTAGTTTAAAAGCACCCACTAAATCACTATGTGACACCTCCATTGTATGAACACAACACACAGTTCCCTGCCCTAGGCAGAGAAAGACCAAGAATATACCAGCAAGCCAGGCACAATGGCATACACTTGTAATCCCAGCAACTCAGGAATGACTGAGGCAGGAGGACCGAAAATTCAAGGCCAGCCTCAGCAATTTAGCAAAGCCCTAAGCAACCAAAATAGAACATTTTTTTTTTAAAGGGGGCTAAGGATGTGGCTCAGTGTCCCCTGGGTTCAATTGTCAGTACCAAAAAGAGAAAGAATAAAGCAGCAAACTCAAGGTAAGTACTGCTCAGCTGCTAGCCCCCTACTTATTACACATGAATCTCTCTCATTCCTCCCCAGTTTTGGTTTACCTCAAGCAAGTCTATTTTACATTCCTATATTAGCCAGGCTCCATGCAAGGTCTATGAATACAATTCTCCTTATTGTCTTTTATAAACATTAAAAAGAAAGGGAGGAGGTAAATGGTGTTCAAAATTATGTAGATCAGCATAAGTCAAATAGAGTTTATTTAGAGAAGGAATTGGATACTGGGCAGATATAGTCAGGTGTTCTGAATAAGGAAGCTGAGCTGGACAAATCACAACTTCTCTGGGCTTCAGTTTGTTCATATATTCAACAGAAAGAACAATTAATATACAAATATACCAAATACTAACTTGTAATCTGTTAAGTGTCCAAATATCTCTAAAATTCTATGTCTCTAGGCCAAGTTTCAGCAAAAGCACAAAAGAACACAAATATAAAAGAAAGAAATCAAGAGTGTGGTTTAGAAATAGAAAAATATCTCAGGTATGGTGATTACCAGAGATAGAGCAGGGGAAAAGGGTGAGGAAAAAAAGGCAGCTGGATTTGATCAGTTCATTCTGTATGCATGTATGCAAATATCACACCAAACCCCTTTAATATGGACAATTAATATGTTTTAATAAAAATCTCTGAAGCCACTAAACTGGTTGAAAAACACTTTGTAGAACATTTGCTTTCTACAGCAAAAATCGTAAGACTACTACTGGTCTTGCAATAACCTAAGTGCATACTTCAACGTTCAGGCAGTAGGATTAACAGTTTGAGCTATCTCATGAAATTCTACTTAATGAAAATTTAAAAACAAAACTTAAGTCCCTTCCATTTCATTTGTACATTCTAAACAGGTCAAATTACATATGTAAGGCTACAATGTCTTTAACCGAGAAATTTCCTAGATGTCAAATCCCATGTCAAATCCCAGATTAAAATATACCCTATTTTTCTCAGTATTACATATTTAACTACTTAAGAAGCCACATTCATCTCAGTAAACACTTTCAATTCCATGAAGCAAGTCATTCTTTTCTGCATATACATATTTCAGTACAATTTTTAAAGATTAAAAATTTTAATCTATAAAAAGAACATTTGAATACCTTTTTTCTAAATTGTTTTTGTTTCTCAAACCTTCGTTTAGGTGCACATCCTTTTCTACATGCTCTACTGGTTTTAAGGAAGTAAATAAAGTAAAGGAAGTAAATTTACCACTTATTATAAATGTAGTAATGAAGACTTTTCTCAGTCCCTACAAAGCAGGTTGTGTTTGCCAGTAGAACACATGAAAAGAGCCCCATAAGGATTTTAATGAAGAATCTTGAGCCACAGTCAACAAAATCCTAAAAAGGTACATATTTTTTTCCCTCTCTATTTACCTAGTAAAACCTCTCTGGTAATTACCTGCCCCTAAGAGGTTTTGTGGAGATCAATTTCAAGAATGTAAAGTGCTTAAAAATTGTAAAGTACTATTGGAAATATAAGTTTTAGAGAAATGAAGAGCATATTTCTCAGCTGAAGATAAAAGGTCATTCAAATTATAAAATCATCTGGGACTTTACTAAGTAAAAATTCCCAACCACTGGCTAATCTATGTTACATTCATAAAACATTAAAAACCATAAGGAAGCTGGCTATATACTGATATGAAAAGATCCCCAAGATTAATTATGAGAATATATAGTATGCCATCTTTTGTGTAAAGAAAAAGGAGGAAAAGTAAATTGTGGAAGGAGTTATAAAAAAAAAAAAAAGAAAGAAACTTAACTGCAAGGAGAAGGCCTTAATTGATGGGAAACCAGAGGTAAAGACAACTTTTCACTGCATCTCCCCATCTTATTCAAAAAAATTACATATTAAAGAATGCTCTACCTAGGCTGGGGGTATAGTCCAGTGTTCAGCATGAACAAGACCCTGACCTAATCTCCAGCATAGCCCCCCACCTCCAAAAAAGTACTACCTGTTTAAAAAAAAAAAAAAAAAAAAAACTAACCAGGTACAGTGGTGCATACCTGTAATCCCAGATGCTCAGGAGGCTGAAGCAGCAGGATCTCAAGTTCAAAGTCAGCCTCAACAATTTAGCAAGGCCCTAAGTAATTTAGACAGACCCTCTCTCAGAACAATTTGGGCTGGGGATTTGGCTCAGTGGTTAAATGCCTCTGGGTTCATTCGCAGTACTAAAAATAAATAGATTTTTAAAAAACTGAACATATATATTTTTAATCAGCCTGCCAAGGATCACATAGCCAAATCTATGTATCTTCACAGTCTATTCTTCTACAATAACTTACTCCCTAAAGACAAAGTATAAAAGGAAGGCATAATCCACAACAATGTGCCATAATTAATGGATAAGTGAGATCTAAGGGCAACACATGAGTTTGAGAGAAATAGAAGAGAGATGTAATCTAGGGCTGTAAGGACAGCTTTTGGACAGGAATAGAGGCAACTGACCAGAAAGGGGGATAAAATGAGAAAAGTAGTTGTTTAAGGCAAAGTTCTCAGGAAACAAAAAGAAAACAACAATTTCTCCACAATTACCCTGTCCTCTGCCTTTGGGCTTCACAGATGCTCCAACTAAAGTCCTGGCAGGACCCTTGGATGCCATGTTGTCACAGTTCTCTTAAATAGAGAGTACTAGCTCGAAGAGTTAAATATATTTTTCTTGACTACAGTTAATGAGCAGAGCTGAGATCAGAACTTAGGTTTTACAATCCCTAATCCACACTCTCTAGTAATAAGGAATGTAATGCTTTCAGTTCTCCAAAGTCAATAGCAAGGCTCTCTGTAGCTGGAGGTGATTAATTTGATTCAATGATCCCACTAAAGAAGATTCAAATTTGAACTCTAGACTTCAGCACTGGGCAATTAAACAGTATTCTTGCTAAATACAAGGATGGCTGAATTCAGTTATAATTTTCTTAATCACATTTACTTGCAATCTGTGGGGAGGCAGCACATATAGTAACAAGCACCCTAGAGGAAAAGACCTGAAATCCTGTCCTGGCACAACTATGGACCACCACATATGCTCTATATGCTCACTATAAAATGAGGAGTTGGGCTATGTCCAAGATTTGGAGGAAAAAAAGCTCAACCTTTAACTGTCAACCCAAACTCAATTCAGGAGAAATGCAGAGCACTATAATTAAGATGAGTAGTCCAGCTTTGTTATAGCTTTTATCAGTAGGCCTAGAAAAAGGAAGTAGTCTTTAAACAAAATAACAAATTGAATGAGATAAAAAGAGAAACAAAATTAGTGTGTTATCTTTAAAACTTTTTACCAGATATTTATAAGCCTAGACAGAATCTCAGGTTTTTTAAATTAAAAAAAAAAAAAAGTACAAAGAAACCAAAATTTTGATGGCCAGAATTTAAATGAATAAGTTCCATAAGCTTATACCTGCAACCTGTGCTTTTTAGAGTAGACTCACACCATCAGAGTTTATGAGTTGTAAAACTGGGATTAGATGCAATTTTCTCACTCTGGTATCCTTTCCATGCTGTGCTACCTTAGTTCTCTGGAAAAACAGCCCCAACCCACACAAACATGACTCTGAATAGGCAAGCACATTATGTCCAAATTGCTGGAGGGGCTGGGGCTACCCCAGTTCCATCCGTTGCTTTCCCAGCACCCAAAAAGATGACTGGTACTCTTCAGCAGAGCCAAGTTAAATCCTGTGTTAAAGAACTACACGCACATTGGGCAAGGTGGTGCATGCCTCTTGGGAGGCTGAGGCAGAAGGATCATGAGTTCAAAGCCAGACTCAGCAAAAGCAAGGTGCTAAGCAACTCAGTGAGACCCTGTCTCTAAATAAAATACAAAATGGGGCTAGGAATGTGGCTCCGTGGTCCAGTGCCCCTGAGTTCAATCCCCAGTAAACCACCCCCACCCCACCCAGCCAAAAAAAAAAAAAAAAGAACTACTCACGCCTAAAAATCTATAGAATACCACACCATTTTTTTCTCTGGGAGCCCTTGACTCCCAACACCAGCCTCTGGCAATAGCCCTTTCCCCAAATGAGGAAGCCAGAAAAACAGATCAAGACAAAAGCAATCAGAAAGAAAGAGGACTATGAGTTCTTAATTTGTAAAAGGACTGCCACTAAATCACTGTAATCAGGGTGTTTGCAAGTTTCTTTAAAAAGCTGAACTTTTCCCACTTTAAATGCCTGTTCTTCCAAAGGCCATTCTTCCAGCACCCACATGATTTCTAAGCAATTTTGCTCATTCCCCTGATTTGAAGAATAAACTATTGTTACACAATAAAGATCCATATCCACGCCAGAAACTCATCTCTCCCATTCCTTCAATGGCAGTCTAGTGTTGCCCTTGCAGGGCCTCTGCTGACAAGAGATGACTAACTGGCTGCATGAGCCCTCCTACTGTGGTCTGCTGTTGTTCAGTGGTTTGCCATTTACCCTTTTTAAGCATTTTGCCCTGCTCTCATGAAAATGAAATCAAGGATAGTAAATGACTAAATAGTGTTTTAACACACATGAGCTTAATGTTCACCCTCCTACCTCCCAAAGATGTCGAGATTTTAAAAGGTTCTTTGAAATGTGCCCCCCAGTCACATCGTTTCCCTGTACAGGATGTGTGTAATGGGCAAGATTTAACACTGAAAAAATGGGTGTG